TATAATTTAATTTTGGTTAACTTTATATAATTTGTATATTATTATATAATTGTATATAATATATGATTTTATTTTTTTAATTTACGATTTTTATTATTCTATTTCCTTATTTTATTCCCTAGAAGCCAATCAGGCACGTGTACTGTATAACATGCCTGCCATCTTAAAAAATGTATCTGATTGGACGATAATATTGAAAAACAATACCTTTGGGGTTTTCCTGTCATCCTGACATAAACCTTAGCAGAGCCCAGACAGATTTCCTCCTTCAGGTCTGGCACTGACTGATAGGACTTCACTTGAAAGTGTGTCAGGAGATTTGAGGAAGAGAGACACTCTGGGAGTTCAATACACAGTCTGATGTATCCACCTCAAGTACAAACAGGGTGTACCGCCTTCTCCAGAGCTTTAGATATCTGTAAACTGTTTCATGTTGAATTCCTTGCTGTGTGTGGCATGCCCACATTACAGGAAGACAGAAATTGAGATGAAAGCTGAAGAGATGAGCTATAGGCTACGTTTCTGAGTGTCTTGGTTAGTGAAATGTTTTTGTGTGTTTCTGTATGTGTGTGGGAGTGAGCCTACACTCAGATTTGAAGTGGAAGAGGGTGAAAAATGTTTTGTGTCACTTTAGGATTAAATAATGTTCTACAACATATCTCAGATCATCTTTTCTGAGTGAGCAGCGCTCAGTTGTGCATGGAAAAGGACTTTTTTTTTTTTTGAAGAGTTTTTATCATTTATAGGTGCAACGATGCGGAAGAATTCATCTGAGTGATGCCAATGAAGCATTTTTTAAACCAAAATCATTCTTCATGAATGATGAGAACAGTGAGAGCTCTGGTGCGTCCTCAGTAATTAGCTCTCTTTATTAACTGTAAGCCTTTTTATTCCCCACGGTAGTTTTCCTCGTTTATTCTGGTGAGTGTGTACATTCCTCCTGACGCGCGTGTGAACGCGGCACTAGAACTGTTGGCCGATCAGATCACACACACAGAGCAGCGTTACCCGGACTCTTTCATTATCATTCTCTGAGATTTTAATAAAGCTAATCTCACCCACGAACTGCCTAAATGCAGACAACACATCACGTGCCCCACCAGGGACAGCAGTATACTGGACCATTGCTAGACTGTTTTAAAGGATGCATATCACTGTCCCCCGTGCAGCGCTGGGACTCTGATCACTGTTTGGTTCATCTTCTACCAGCCTACAGGCAGAAACTTAAATCTGCTAAACCTGTAGTAAAAGCTGTAAAGAGATGGACTGTTGAAGCAGAGCGGAATTTACAAGCTTGCTTCGACCTCACTGATTGGAGTGTGTTTGAGGCTGCAGCTACTGATCTGGATGAGCTCACTGACACCGTGACGTCCTACATCCGTTTCTGTGAGGACATGTGTGTTCCCACCAGGACTTATTTAACATTTAACAATGACAAACCTCGGTTCAGTGCAAAACTCAAACAGCTTCGCCAGGCGAAGGAGGACGCCTACAGGAGTGGGGACAAAGCCTTGTACAAACAGGCCAAATATACACTAAATAGGGAGATAAGAGTGGCAAAGAAAAACTACTCTGAAAAGCTAAAAAACAGCTTTCAAGCAACGACCCTACATCAGTGTGGAAAGGCCTGAAAGCCATCACCAGCTACAAGACCCCATCCCCCAGCACTGAGGCCAATCAACAACTGGCTGAAGACCTGAACGAGTTCTACTGCAGGTTTGAAAAGCAAAAGCCTGGTCTGACACCCCACACCCACTCCGACCGTCTCACAGCACACTTCTATAACTGTCTGGTTTGGGTCAGCCAGCAAATCAGATATAGGAAGACTGCAACGGACTGTTAGGACAGCAGAAGGGATAATTGATGTGCACCTGCCCAACCTTTAGGATTTGTACAACTCCAGAGTGAAGAAACGGGCAGGAAACATCATCAAGGGCCCCTCTCACCCCAGCCACAACCTGTTTGCAATTCTTCCTTCAGGCAGACGGTACAGATCTCTGTGCAGTGTGCACTAGAACATCTAGGCATAAAAACTGTTTTTTCCCCCCATGCCATATCCAGCCTAAACAGCTAACACAGGAATTATGACCTGTGTTCTGTAATTCATGCCTGTAATTCATTTATTCTCCATCTCTAATTACTGCCTCTCTCTCAAGTACTATGTAAATACATATGCATATTTTCTATACAGCTGTATATGTAGAGTAAATAATGCACAAATCTGTACATAAATCTACTGTTCAAGTACCAAAAATAAAAGTATCGGTATCGGGCGAGTACTGGAAAAAGTGGTATCGGTGCATCCCTAGTATGTATGTATGCATGCATGTATGTACCAAGAGCTTCTTAAAAAACCACAACAAATTCCTTGTGTGTTTGCGCACACTTGGCGAATAAAGCTGATTCTGATTCTGAATTAGGATGTCCATTAATGATCACAAAGTCCCACTGCTTTGAAGTTCTAATCCTAATCCTATCCTACCAGTGTCACATTCTTTTAGTCTGCTCAGGAAGAAATATCATAAAGAGCTTAATCTGATGGCAAATCCCAATTTAGCAGTGGTGCATCTATTATATCAAGCTGCAAGCTCTCGCTGGGCCTTTTAAATTGAAAATTGAGATTGGTGGGACGAGAGCAGCATATCTAGTCCCGGCAGTGCTAATTTCTTCCCCACATCCATTTTCAAATAAACAATTCCTGTTTCACGTGTTGTTTCGCGTCATTCCCGTTCCAATTCTCACATGTGTTTTCGTGACAAAACGTGGTTTGTAGAGTCATTGGGTGACAGAGTTGTTGTCAGCTTGTGTAGTGTGTAACCCCCGGTTGCGGATCATTTACATAGTCACGTAGAGTGTGAGCACTACAACGACTTAAAGACAGACAATCAAGTGATGTAGTCTGAACAGCACAGTGATCTGCCGACGTTTAAAGTCGTGTAGTATGAACTTGGCTTAAGACTCTGCTATATCAGTTGCGTGAATACTTGTATTAAAGCAGCATGCCAAAAAAAACAGTACTTAGTTAGTTGATAGTTTTATTGAATAGACATAATCTTTAAAAAACTGTATTAATTATTTTATTTTATTTTTAATTGTTTATTTTATTTTTTAATTGTATTTATTTTAAATCGGAAGCTTTGCAGTAGTAAGTTTGAGTTAATTGTTTGAGGTGACAGTTTAGACTTCAACTTTATTTAAATTTGCAGCAAGGCAATGTAATGTCTAGCAGTAGGAGTGCAGAAAGTTAAGGTCACATGATCCACTCCCTGAGGAAGCTGTTTATCAAGATTCAGTCCGACTTAAGAAGCCATTTTTCACTCAGCTGCAAGTAAAGCATCCAAAAGTAATGATGATTGAATAAACTATTAAACAGATGGAGACTTTCCATGACATTTTTATCTTGCTTTGAGAGAGAGAGTGGAAGTTAAAGAGACAGAAAGGGAGAAATCTCAGACATGAGACAGGTGTAGCCTATATGTCAGGATAGTTTGGTCTACCTGCGTTCATGCATACTCTATTCCTCCTCCCCAGTGTTGGCGCCACGGGTGGGCCTGAGGGGGCCCGGCCCGGCCACTGTGCTCCCTCACCTCTGGTGCCGTTTCCGTAGTGGGCGCCCTGATTTTAGTCGGTGAGGCAAGGTACTGCCCTGGGAAGGTCTCCCAGGTTGTTAAATACAAAGATTAAAAGCTAAATGTTTTCATTTCGGTTCGTTCTTAGCAAAAAAAAATTTTCGTTCAGGTTGTGCAGAGCGAAATAAGAACGGTGCTGCATTTAGAAAGAATTCTTATTAACTTTGCTATTATTCTTGAATTTTCAAACTGCTAACACTTTGCAGTTTCGAATTATGCCTTTACTGTATGACCAAAAATTACGGAGTAGTCTATTTTATGTTTCAGCTGTTTGATCGCGGCAGCGCCTCACGCGCACACTAAGCTATTGCATTCATTGGAAACAGCGCAGCCGTTCACCGTACCGTTCGGCGTGAGACCCGCTCCACTGTGGCATATTTTTGCTCATTATGATATTTTTCCGTCGATACTGGAACGCGCGTGAACTACAAAGCCTATTTTACCTAATAAGGCTAATAGTTTAGCTTCAGCTACATCGCGAATATGGACACATTTGGATTTGTGACTGAGAGAGGTAAGCCCAACTTTACCTTACGTTTCTTTATAAATTAATTTGTTTTGGCATGTTTATTGCTAAGCATATATTATTATATACTGCAATTATATTTATCCATTAGAATTATATATTTTTAAATTCTTATTCTGTTCTGATACGGTTAAATTTAAAGGATTTGTTGTAAAGTGAGGGGAACTAAAATATCCTATAGTGTTCATAATGTTGGTACATTATAACAGTATTAGGCCTGCCGTTATTATTTCTGAAAATGCAACTTATATGAGACGTATCTTTTTTTATTTTTTTTATTGTGCATCTATAAACGAAAATATGTGATTAATCTGTTAAAATTTGTTACTGTGGGTTAACAAAATTTACATTAGTAGGCTATTCTTATGCTTGGCTTCACGGATATCAACAGAGTCTGGGCCAAGTCTGGTTTACATTCACTTCTGGCTTTTTTCAGTCTTGATTGCAAATGTTTTTTTTTTTTAATGTACGATGGATAATTAAAACATAAATGAGGCGTGTGTATTTATAACATCAATTACTAGGCCTACATTCTTTTTTTCAGAAATGAAAGTAACTTAAAATGTTATTGTGTGTTTGTAATTTGAATATTTTTATCTATAGGCCTATACAGCAAAACTACAGAGATTCCAGTAGGTTATTTTACGGAGCTGTAAACACGGGAATCTCAGACCGCATGCAATCTTTGACGAACACCCAATTCATATATCAAACTAGGCTATGTTATTAAATTGTACATAGGCTATATATCAGATTATTTTATTTGCAAGTTTCATGTTTGTGTTTATCCCGTTTTTTTCCCCGTTGCATCTGAAAATTTCTTTCAGAATTTTTTTTCTTTCTGAGCTTGGTACTTGGAAGGAAGTGACACTAATATTTATAGCCCCTATTCCAAAAGCCCCTAATTAATCAACAGGGATCATGGGGCTTTTTTGGCAAATGGAATCTTTCAAAATGCACTTTATTCACCTGCATCTGGTTAAGGAAAAGAAGATCAAATAAGACCGCAAACAAGCAGGCTGGGGTTCAGAAACAAGGGACCTGTCTCTGCATGTCTAAACTGATTGGTCACTGACAGAAGAGCCAAGACAAGTTAAGCACGTGCTGAAATGAATGCTGTGACATTCAATGCATTTCAAATGGAGTGTCCTTCAGGTGCAAGGTCATGGAGGTGTACTAGTTAAAGACCGAGACCATTCTTGTTGGGCGGCCTAAATTCACAATTTTCTTGAGCTGTGATGTTTGTCTGGTAGAAATGTAGGGCAATGGAACGTCTTTTCTTTCTGTCGTCGACTGTTATTACAGAGAGTTTATTTGTAGAGCATTTCACAGTCTCTAGGAGACTGAAGGTGTTTTTCATCAGAAGGAAGCAGCTAGATTTGACTTGTCCTTAATCTCACTATTCACATCTATCTAATGGAACCTGCTGGAAAGTGTTTCTCCTATTTGTGCCATGCTTAGCTAGTGAAGGTTTGAAAGAGGTGTTTTTCATCAGATCTTCATTTTCTGTCACTGTCAGCCAGACGTTTCTATTAGCATTTCAACTGAGGTGTGATCTAGACATTGAGGTTTATTTGCAGAAACACAACACCCAGTCAATGTAGAGACAACTTTGATTTGCTCATATTCCTGACCATGTCAAATCACAAAAAAAAAAAATTATTTTATTTTAAAGTTTTGTTTTATATTTCTTTTTTTTTTTTTATATTATTCCATTTCATTAATTTTAATGTATTACCTTGTCACTCAATATCAGTAGAAACATGAAACATGCCTGCCATCCTAAAGGAGGAATCTGACTGAACAAAAACACCTTTTGGGATTTGTCTTTTCAATGACTGATGGTTTATAGTCTGCTGTTGATATATAAAATGCACTAGCCAACACATCAGTTGTTAATGCCGTAGACGTTCCATAATTGATCGTAAAGCTAATATTTAAAATTATTTGAATCATTCCATTATATAGAAGCTGAAGCTGTCCAAGAATGTCTGGTGACACGTTTGGCTCCTAACAGCTAGAGTGAACAACATCAGGATTAGCGTTTGCGCTCTTCCGGGTCAGCAGGAGGGAGTCGAATCTTGTGTCTTACTTAACCCCCACGCATATTCAAGCTCGTTATCACTTATTCTCCAATAACAATTTACTGTTTCCTGTCAGTGGCTTCTGAAAATGAATTCTGCCAGATGCCATGGCAGCGTGATGCAAAGACGTTAGTCGTTATTTGGCCTGCGTTGGAGATGTGGAGTTCTGAGAGGAATAAAAGGCTCATGAGACGCAAGCCAATTATCCACACTGTGGGAATTCCACTGTGAATGCAAACTATATTTTTGTAGCACACTCATATACACACACACTCTCGTGTACGCTTGATCCCTCTCTAACTTAATATTTGCATTGTTTTAGAGGAGAAAACTGTCCCAGATGATTTCATCAGGCTCTCTAGATTTGGGGTGGCTGGCAAAGCGAGACCAAACACTCTATTGTAGAGATGTATAGAGCATTGTGCAGTCAATGAAGCAAATTTTTTTTTAATTTAGTTTTTTTTACATGGTGAGTGAATGATGATGCTTAACATTCAGAAAATGTTCATTGTAAATCTCACAAAGTCACACTAAATATTATGAGCTTTTTTTTGTTTGTTAACGATTTTTATTTTTTTTATTTTATTATTTTTTTCCTGTTACCAAAAATTGGAACATATTTAAGTGATTTAAAATCCTGATATTTGAGTTTTTATATATATAATTAAGATATACTTTATGCTTCTTTATATATTAAATTAACATCAAAATGAAATGTTACTATAATTATAAAATAAACAATTAAAAAAAGGCTACAAAAACAAAACTTCATCAGAATGAGAATGAGGGTTGTAAATAACAGGCAACAGGCATTTGCAATAACAGACAAATAATATCGTTAAGTATGTACTAGCTTTTTTGGGAGGAAGTGTACATACAATTGCATTTAAATATCAGTTTAATTGAACAAATTTTTGTTAGTGTTTTTCTTTGCTGGATGTGATAAGAAGGTCATGATACATGTGACAGTCCAAAATCCCTTTTTTAAAGGTCAAATAGGATATCAGACATATTTTACACAACAAAATGATTGAAGTGAGATACCAAGGTGTACCATTTGTGGAGTTCTGTCCTGTGTGTCACGATAAAGGAGACAGGAAGTCACCGAGAAAACAGAATACAAATTATTGTTCTTTGGTTCAAGCATCTGATATCTGACTGTTTTACAAGCAATTTTATCACTACAAAAGAAATCTAAGGACCACTGTACTTACACTGTGCTATGTAAACAATGTAAAGACTCTGCAAACCTGTAATATTCTGTTTTGTGTATTATTCTTGTTGAATATTAGGAGAGAAAAAAAGTCTGTACTGTCTTTCTTTTTTTCTTTATTTCTTTATTTTTAATGTGCGTGCGATGTTGGCTGTCAAAAATATAACCTCCTCTCCTACTTCCATTTAGATGCCATTGAAATTTAAATAGAAGCTTATGCAAATCTCTGTTGTTAATATTCTGGCTGATTGCCTTTTACTTGGCCTTCAAACCCTCCCGTTGCTACTTATCTCAGACATAACATGCATCCCTCATACTGTCTTATCTACACTCAACTTGAAACTTGCATCAGGTTTTTAAGTGCCTACTGGAGTACAGCCATTTGAACCACAAACAGGTGGCTTTAGTGAGCTAAAGTATGCATTATCAGAGTGATTTTGTGCATGCGATTTATATTTAACCCAACATACTACTTCGTAAACATGCCACAGTGGCCTTCAAAAGTTCCTTTAAAAATTCTTTGAAATGTAATTTGGTCCAGTCAAAACATCTGTGAAGATCTAAAGAAAGTAATCAGATCCTTTGTTTCCAGATGCAAGAGCTGGTTTTGTTTTTTTTTGTAATTAAAACATCTTCATGTTTGTTTTCACTTTTTCCTTTCAAATTTTTTTTTTTTTTTCTGGACTCTGCTTAATATGGCTATGATTTTCTTGGTAGCTTTTGTATTGCAAAATTGCATGTTGTCTTCTGTGCTCATTCAGTGTCTAAAGATACAACTATATGAGCTGCACATGTGCTTTGTAAGTTTGGCAAGGTTTCTGAATAGCGCACCATTAATAGATGCAAAAATAAACAGGCGCTATTTTGGTTTTGCATTCAGGTGAATGCTGCTGTAAGCGTTCAGTGCCCATGATGCTCTGATATCGCCTTTATTTGTGTGTGGCCCTGGGCACTAATGATAGCATGCAGGTTTAGGTAATAACCTTGTTTATCTCCTCTTTATGGCTCAGCGAGTAACAGTGGGCACCGCCGGCGTATGATTTTAACCCAAGCGTGATGTTTTTTTCCTTTGAGGTGTTAAGACCAGTCTTAGTTTTAACTTCAAGTGGCAGGAACATATAACAATGTTTTGAAGTGAATACCAGTTTCATTGAGTTCCCTCTGATTTGTCTCAGATTTTTTTTGAATGAGCCCACATGACTGTTAATCCCAGAAATAGTACAAAACAAACTCCTTTACCCTTAATTTGAGCTTTCATCATAAGCTTAATGTCTTTCACGTTGGACCTGCTATTTTAGATGTTTTGAACAGGGTAGCTGCGATTATGTTGCACAAAGGTTGAGATGCCAGTATCCTACATATGATACATGCTTATTAAAGGGATCGTTCACTCAAAAATGAAAAGCTGCTGTTTTCTGTACAATGAAATTGAATGATGACCAGAGCTGGTTCCCATGCACTTTCATTGTATGTATTAGAGAAGCTTAGACATAAAGCTTAATATCTCCTTTTTCTACTGTAAAAAAAAAATCATGCGGGTTTGGAAAGACTCAAGGCTGAGTAAATGATAACATGATTGCATTTTTGGGTGATTTATTCCTTTAATATTCCAACGTGATCTCATGAGAATTTGTATGTATTTATGTAAAATGTGATTCTACAAAATTGATTCCAGTCACATTTTCTGCACC